CCAGCACCATCAAGCTGGACTTCACCGACGAGTGGTGAGAGACGAGCAGAGGAACGGTTTCTGTCCAGACTTTTAAGTCGCGTCAAACGACATCGGCAATCGCTGGGCACTTTACTAACGTGATAAATGACTCGGATACAAGATCAGATTAAAATAAGTAACGAACGGAATCGATGTGCCGAAAGAGCTTTAGTTCGTGTTTAAAATCAGATTAGCATTAATGCCCTGACGGTGTTTTAAATGAAAAAAAACAAACAAAGTAACTGATTGAAAGAAGGGATTGTGTTTTTACAGAAACATGTGCTCAGTTTAATTTATCAATTTGCCAAAAACAGCGCAGCACTGACCTGTGGTTTCTCATTAGGAAGTGTTGAAAGGCTTCTTCATGATCTGCTAGTATCTCCACCGACACTTTGGCTTTTTTTTTCCTGACCTAAAACTAAGATTTTGGATTCGTTAAATGATTGTAAATATTTCTGCCTTGTCTGTCTCCGTTTTGACGTTGAGCATAGAGAGCTTTCCTCTTCCTTTGTCAACCATAAAGAAATCCAAATATGTAGGTGAATAAATAATGGAGCTGTTGTTTTTTTTTTTACCCAACATTCAGCCACAGTAGTTTTAATCCAGAATGTTTCGCAGGAACATATTGTTGATTATTTTGACAGATTGTTGCTAAAATCAGTGAAACCTTCAGAGATGCATAAGGCGTCTGGAAGATGCGACTCTTAGACCTGTTCTGTTTGCAGTAATGAACTGATTCTGGGTTTGAACAAGCCAGATGATTCCAGCTTTTTTTTTTCTTTTAACCTCAAAGATGTCGCATCCTTGATTCTGTAGATCACTTTGACTTTATTCCTACTTAAATGAGTTTGGACTTGTTTCTGGACATAGGAGTTGGGTTAAGATGCGTCTTTCGGTCTCAAAACTCCATCCTTCACCACTTTTCGTCGGTTTCTTCATGGTAAAACAAGTTGTCGTCTTAAGTTGGTCATTGTTTAACTTTCTCTCCACAGGAGCAGCAGCACGTCCAGCTCGATGGGCAGCGGCGTCTCCAAAACGTCCGAAGCCGTGGCTCCAAAGAGCCAAGAGACTCTGCCAGCGGAGAGTTCGGCATCGGAACAGGGTGATTCACATAACTTCAGCATCATGGATATAGCTGCACAGTGTTCAGTGCCTTGCAAAAGTACTGATGCCACTCGAGCATTGTCGCCGTTTGTCACAACCGTAAACCTCAGTGCCTCCCCTGGCATTTTATTCGAAACAAATACAGAGTTGTATTTAATCAGGAAGCTGAGAGCCAAATGAATGCCACTTTAAAAAAAAAAAAGAAATAAAAAAAGAAGGAAATTGCTAGAGAAAAAAAAAACATCACTCTAAAAACCACTGGTTGTTTTCCTGGTTGCTTCACAATTATGCAGTTTGTTGGTTACTCGCATCAGAAACCAGTAAAATACACCGAAGGTCGTGACGCGACGCCTTAAAAAGCTCAACGGGTCTGAATACTTTTAGCTGGATCCACATCCTCAAATTTATTCCACATTTTGCTGCAGAACAAATTGGACCATGTGTGACTTCCTGTGCTCCTCAGCTCCCTGCGAGTCCTCTGGGCAGCACGGTTTGGCAGCAGCCACATCAGAGTCTCCGCGTGACGCCTCCGGCGCCGGCTCCCTCGGCGTCTCCACGACTCGGGGTCCCGCCGAGTGGGAATGCGCGGGGTCTCCGCCGCAGGAGAGGAGTCAACCAGAGGGCTCCGAAGACCCGTCGGGCGACTGCAGGAGGGCGGAGCCTGCCGGGGAGGAGGGCGTGGAGGGTCAGAGCCAGCCGGCGCCTAGCAACCAGGACTCCGACGACAGCGACGACGATCCCATTCTCATCCCGCCTGCCAGATTCAGAGGGCAGGGGCAGAGGTACATAAAGGAGGCTCCACCCGATTCAAAAAATAAATAAAATCATCTTTCCACTTTTTAAGGGTAGATTTTCTGATTTGAGTTTTGTGCTTTCACACTCACTGTTTTCAAACGAATGTAGATTTAATTCCAGAGGATCTGCAGTAGGAGATAGGATGATCAGGTAACACGCTCGCTCTGGAAACCTAAAAAACAAGCTAACACTGGAGCTGCGTGATCTGCTGCACAGCACCTAAAGCCACAAACACCACAAAGTGTTTAACCTTTTTTCTTTTGTTTTGTTTGTTTTGACTTGGTTTGACTCGAGCTATTAATACAAAGAGCTGAGTATGGAGTGTTTGCATGCGATCACAAACGACGTGAATAAAAAAACACCACGGCTGCATTTATCATGTCTGTATGCATGGCGACTTCGAAAGAATTACATGTTTTGATGCTTCATGCAGGTGATTTTTACTAAAAAAACAAAAAGATCATATTAAGTACTGTAGTGGTTGAAATGTAAAAATCTAGAGTAAGTCAAATCATGAATTTGCAAATGTTTTTTTTTTGAGTTATTTAAATTTTGTGGGTTTCTTTCCTTTTCCTTGCCAGACGCTCTGCAGCAGCTCGCATCCAGGAGCTGTTCCGCAGGAGAAAGGAGAGAAGAGAGATGGAGGAGAGCGAAACTCAGAATATCAGGAGACCGTCAGTGAAAATGGTTTACAAGGGCCATCGCAACTCCAGAACAATGGTAAGCATCGGCCCGGTCGAACCGATCAACACACCTGGTGAACAGAAAAGTTAGGTAAAGCTGTTTGTTTCATCTCGACGCAAACAATCAACGCATGTTGAAAATCAAGCTTATTTATCCGTTTTCGAAAGCTAATCCGTCTCACAGCAGAAGGACCTAAACATTACAGGCACCTGCAATGTTTAGGTTTCCTCTAGCAGAGTCGTCTGTGTGACGTTTGAGGTGCTTCTCGCCCTCGTGTCCAGATAAAGGAGTCGTGTTTCTGGGGCAACAACTTTGTGATGAGCGGCTCGGACTGCGGACACATTTTCATCTGGGACAGACACACTGCAGAACACCTCATGCTGCTGGAAGCCGACAACCACGTGGTCAACTGCCTGCAGCCGCACCCGTACGACCCCAGTGAGTCCAGTCAGGGTGGTGGTCGGCTCGCAGAACGAGACGAAAGGAATGCAGAATTTAGTATTTTTATGCTTTGTTTTTTTTTTGTTTTTTTCTTCCAGTTTTGGCTTCTTCGGGGATAGACTATGACATCAAGATTTGGTCACCACTGGAGCAGTCTGCATCTTTTAACAGAGTCCTTGCTGAGGAGGTATAATAAATTATATATGACGACTTAGAGCTGGGCGATTTCGCTTAAAAATAATATCGCCGAGTCATCTTTTGTTGTTCTAAAAAAAAAAAAAAAAAAAAAATGAAAAATAACAGGAAATATTTTCAGACAATGGTTTTATTTCAGTCAATTCTTCTGTGAATTTATTCTGTGACGGTTTTATTTGTTTTTTTTTTTTTTAGTTACAAGAATGCAGTCATAATATTAGCAGATTAAAGATGCAATTTCACCACAAGAATGTCTAAAAATTAGCTTGGATAAAAAATATTTTGGTTTTCTTTGTTTTCATAAAATTACTATGACATTCCCCTAACATTACGACCCTGTTCTGGTAACATTAAGACTTTATTTTAGTATTATTCTAACTCTATTCTCATACTTCTACGACTCTATCCTTGTAATATTGTGACTCTATTTTCATAAGAAAAAACTCTTGACCTTTTTTGTAGTTGAGTTTACCGTAATTCAAAGAAAAATGCTCATCAAACAAGATGGCCGCCCTGGGCGTGCTGACATCACTTTGACCTTTTGGAAACCCAAGGAGATCATTGGTAAAACTGATCAAATTGATTTGTTGTCCAGCCCTAAAACAACTTTACACGACACCAAAGGTGAAGCAGTGTGGAAACCAAAAAAATAAATTCCTGACAGACTGAAACGCATAATCTGTTATTTGTATTAACATCCAATTTTCATTTGAAAAGTTCACACTTCTCTCCTGGAGCTAAACACTGTCGTGTTCATTTCAGAAGACGAAACATAATAATAAAAACAAGAACTTCCAGAAAGCTCTCTTTACAGACATAAATCTAAAAATTTTTTCATATTATTAAAAAGTTCAATGTTCCTGCCACTAGTTTCAGAAAATAAAACTCGTCTATTTAAAACCACTTTTATCTCCTCATTAATAGGTCATAACCCGCAACGAGCTGATGCTGGAGGAAACGAGAAACACAATCACTGTCCCGGCCTCCTTCATGCTGCGAATGTTGGCGTCCCTCAATCACATCAGATCAGGTAAAAGCTCATCGCAGACGACCCGCGGAGCGTCGCTTGTTCTCCTGGGTCAAATTTTTCTTTTCTTCTTCTTCCTGTAGATCGCCTGGAGGGCGATCGGTCTGAAGGATCCGGTCAGGAAAACGAGGAAGAGCAGTAGCCAAGTTGGCATTTTATTTTCATGGGGAAAAAAAAACAACAACAAAAAAAAAAACACAAACAAAAAAACAAACAAACACCTTTTGTTGTTGCTGTATAGCACTTGCAAAGAACCCCCGAGATTTGTACTAGTAGAATACTTCCTTTTGGATATTAGTGTTATTTCTAGGCCCTTGTGTTGTTTTTCTTTCTTTTTTAAAGAACTTTCTTACTGATATTTCTGTATGAGGATAAACTACACCTGTGTGACTGCAAAAAGGACGCCAGTATGGGTATATAAAAGTGTGTGTCTAGAGTGCTAATAGCAGCGGCTGGTGTGAAAGGATGTTAAAGTGCAATATTATTTGTTTGGCGAAGGTGAGAGTTGGATCAGTGTTAATGTTTGACATTTTTTTGAATTTGTAGCAATGAAATGTTGACGTGCTGCTGCAGCACTTAAAGCATGTGAATACAGACTTTAATTAAAATACAAAGGCTTTAAATCTGTTGTTTTGTAGAGTTTGGACGGAAAGAACTGTGATCAGCGACGAGAACGCGGCGGTCGGTAACAGGGCACCCGCTGAGTTGCTGCTTACAGCTGTTTTTTTTTTTGTTTTTTTTTTTTAGCAGCTGTTTGTCTGAACGCAGGCTCTGTCTCTGGGAAAATATCGAAAGCTGAAGTATTTCTCACTTAGCTGCCCTTTTTATTTATTTTTCATGCATTAAACATGTTTGTTTGCTTTCTTACTTGACTTGGGTTAAAAAAAAAAAACTGTTTGAGAAGAGTTTTACTCTGATAAACTCTACAAAAAGTTTTTTGCTAGAGACGGAGGGTTAAGTTATTGTGACCCATAGAGCTAATATGGCCAAATGCACAATAAACAGAGCTGTAACATCAGTCAGATGTATTCCCAACTGTAAGATGTGATTTGAGTTTTTTTTTGTTGTTGTTGTTGTTGTTTTGGTGCAAAATCAGCATCAAACTTCGTTTAAACATTTAGCTTAATTAGATGGAGGCCTGCATTATTGTTGACATCCCTGGTAAAGATGTACAAGAAACACTTTAAATAACTTCCTCTGTTGTTGCAGCATCATAAACAGTCCAAAGATTGAATCTTGACGTTCGTCCTACTGTCCAAAATATAAACATGTAGAGTTTACTTGACATTACTCGGAGGTAAACTAAATTACTGATACTTCTTTTCATTTTTCTTGGGTCTTCATGAGTTTACATAAAATCAAGAAAACCATGAACAAGCCTGAGCATCCCCTTCATGAAACTGTCATAGGAAACCGGCGTCTTCAGTCAGAGGCTCCTTCAGATTCGCTGTAATACAGACTGTTACTGTTTGACGAATCTTTGTACGAGGTACAGCAACATTTAATATCCCGTTAAGGTCAATAAAGAAAGAATTTTTGACTTTGAATTAAACTGAATTGGCAGAGACACACAACCTTCACAAATGGAAATACTGAGTTCCACTCAAAGCAGACATGTTTGATGGTATATAATTTTAATACAAATATCTGTATCCATAGTTACAATAAGAAATGAAGCTGTACCAGTTGCAAAAATAAGAAGAGAACATGCAAAGTAAAACTGAATTTCATAAATATATTCCAGGTATGTCTTTGAGGGAATAATATTATAATACGAGTTTCATAAATAAGAGTGTAGAAATGGATGAGCTGCATGTACCTCTGAAAATATTTCTGTAAGCTGACTGTGAACCATCAGTTCAGCATAATTTATTTCTGAAATACTTTCTACAGCAGTCAGTTTAGGGACTGACTAGAGACCATCTTTTAGTACCTCTGTGTCTGCTCTGCTGCTGAACTGCATCAGTTTTCTTCTCTAATGTAAAGGGTTCATGCTGAATCTGAGTCTGAATGGACTAAAAAAAAAAAAACCCTGAAACTGAACTAAACAAAGAACATTTTGTATAAAACTGACTATTTTCAATTTTGATTATTTGTCTACAAATAAATAAAAAAACAATATAATGTAACGAACTTTTACGGCCTTAGTTTGGCCTGACATCAAACTGCATTAAAGACCAGAACATAAAAATGAACAAGATGAAGCAAATGTATTTAAAGGATTTGTATTGAAATCAAGACAATTTCTACATATTTCTTATGTTTAAAGTTTCAGGCTTTTCAAAAATCATTTGATTTTGAACATTTAAGATAAATCTGCACATTTCTACGACCCGTTCTGGTTTTTATAAACCTGAACTGGTGAGACTATGTTGAAATTCAGAGTGAAACTGAATAAAGTAAAGAAGAGATGGTGGGGTAACTAAGGCAACAAGTGACTTTTTCCTGGTGTGTTAAGAGCAGACAAACGGGAAACACTCAGCCTTTGATAGTCTGATGAGAACTGAATTGTGATGCCTACAAAACTGGGTCATATCATTCCCAAGTGACACTCAAAAGAGGCCCGGCGAAGAAACCGTGGTTTACCAGAGTTCACTGCTGCACACGGGGGGTCAGAGTTGCCCTGTGTTGCTCAGTTTAACAGATGGGTTGCATAAGACGCTGCAGATCAATAAGGGTGGAGGAATATTCCCTGAATAATGCGCCCCGACACAAAACGGTAAAATGAGTCAGGAATAGTTTGGGGAATCACTTTAAGGTTTACTTAGACTCCATGTCCCCAGATCTCAATGCAATCAGGTTAAGCTGGACAAACAAGTCCAATCTATAGAAGTCAGGACTGCACTGATAATAAAGAGCTTATGCCTGATTGGTGCATTCATGCATGTGATTTAAGCCTGACTGAAAAGTTTTTTTTTGTTGTTTTTTTTTAAGTAGCCAAGTTCACATAAAAATGAAATTTATTCATGATTATTTTATCCTGAAGTCAGAATGAGGATTTCATTTTGGTCTTTAGAAAAAATACGCATGGATAAAGTATTTTGAATCAATGCATTACTTTTTTTTTTTTTTTGATACTGATCAAACCTGAAAAAAATAAATACGTTTATATTCCCAAGGCATAGAAGCATCATAAAAATAATAGCCTATCCGGTCAGTGCTGATCAGGTCACCTTTTTGCTGCTAATTCACAAAAAATCTAAAACTGGGTCAAGAAGCTTTGCTGCAACAGAACCTAAGTGGACCGTAAACATCTGCATGAGAGAAACGGTAGCAGTGTGAATCTGAGGTGAAAGATTTACTAGTTGGGTTTTTTTTTTCTTCCCAATAATTTATTTTTTATTTTTTTATTTTAACTCAAACTGACCACAGCACATTAAGATACTAAAAATATATAATAACAAAAATGTGTAGCAAAACAACATTACCATGTAAGGTTACAGTAGTATAAAATTCCTATTAAGAGTACAAACATGACAGAAGAATTCGCCCGGACACTGACGGCGTTCCTTTGAGTGAAAAAGTGCCTCTTCCTGTCTGCCAATCCAGACTTCATCAGCCGTACCACAGGGTGTCTTAGTGTGCAGTCGAAGGCCAAACCTGCAGCGATCAGATGAGCTGCTTCTCCTCCTCCTCCTGCCTGTCGTCCTTGACGATGCCTTCGTCGATACTCTCCAGCCTCAGTCTCTGACCGTCCGGGTGTCTGGGCTTTGGCGCCCCCCTCGTCACAAAGAGCCCTCCCCCCTGCGGCGATAGACTCTGCTCGAACAGCGCGAGCTTGGCGTCGCTCTCGATGGCCTTCGCCAAGCAGGAAGCGAACGAGTCGAGAGATTTGTGAACCTCCGCGTGGACTTGGGCTGAAGACGAGTTTTCAGCTGAGGAAAATAACAAGTAATTCAGAAAAACATAAAAAACCCCCCCAAAAAAACAACAGCATTCATGCTCGGTGTATAGCCATGTTTTTTCCATTTGTTTCCAACGAAAAGTTGCCTTTGTTTTTGTTAAGCTTCCTGTTCGCAGGAAACTTAATGATGGGATACCTTTGGAATGCTCCACCTGGTCTTCAAAGGTGACCGAGCTCCGCCTCTTCCCGGATGGATTCCCATTTTGTGAGGGGAAGGAGGAGCTATCTGTGGAGGGGTTCTCCAGCAGCATCACATCGGTGCCTGCAGGTAAAGCAAAGAGGGCGGCTCCCTGTGATCCTTGTTATCTCCCAGCCGGAAAAACAACAAAACAAGAAGCGCGTGATCCTACTCATCCTGAATGCCAGCCCTTCAGCTGAAACATGAGCTGTCCAACAGGAATGTTATGAGGAACCAAGACTGACCTGAAGCCACAATTATCTTACTGTTATGGTGGAAATTGGGTTTACTCCAAGCTAGACGGATAAATAAAGAAATAAAAAAAAAGTTTGACAATTTGAAGGATTTCAAATAAGAAATTGGAATATGAGGTAGAGGGAACTAATTTATTTAACAATAATGTAACAAAGAGGCTTAGCATACATTTTGTTTTGGTCAGCCTGTCGCAATAAGTAATAGACCAATTATATTCCATTAAATTGGTCTCAAAACGACATTGCTATTGTTTATCGCAATAACTTCTGGGACAATTTCTCATCCAGAAAGATTTGACATAGTGACAGACCTATTTCTTGGTTTAGGTCAATTATATCTTTATCTTTGTTAAATATGAAGTAGAACAGTAGGTTTTTTTTTGTTTTGTTTTGTTTTTCATAACAAAAACTACCATACTGAAAGACTGAATAAAATTATAGTACAACAGAACCTTTTCTGTTTCTTGTCAAAAACAAAAAGTTTTTACATGAACTGTATATTGCTTAAAAGTATTGATTCATTCATCCAAGTGACTGGATCCAGGTGATCCGACTGCTTCCATGGCTATTGGTGTCTAAAATCCAACATTAGGCATCTAGACTGATTCTATAATCATCTGCGAAAGAAATTATTATACGAATCCCAGTGTGGACTCTATGTGGACTCTAGAGCAGAAGAGACGTGATCTCTGGAGTGACGCGCCATTCCTCTCTGGGTTTAGGTATTCGTCTGGAGAATTAGGTGACTGTATCGTGTCAAGTGGACAGTAAAGTTTGTATGGAGAGATTATGGTGTGAGTATGATAGTTTTATGCTCCTGACTCACTAGAAACAGTTTGGAGTTACAACATGACTGTGTGCACCACAACATGGATAAGAGAGATTGATGTGAACATAAAGAACACCTGTAGGATAAAAGCCAGAGTGTTTCTTGTGCGTGCGTGCGTGTGTGTGTGTGTGTGTGTGTGTGTGTGTGTGTGTGTGTGTGTGTGTGTGTATAGCCGACCTGAGTCCTGAGTGAAGCTGAAGCCGGTGTCTCCTGTGCTGCTTCCTTGGGCCAACAGGTGTCCTCCTCCGGCCAGCATTGCAGTCAGGTGCGGGGACATACCCAAGTCTGGAAAAAACAACAAACACATTCACAAAACACACACTCACAAAGAAACAATTTTTTCTCACATTAGTCAAGTGATCACAGACAGTTTACAAAAGCAGGTTGATGCTCAGCGGTCTTCGATACGATATTCTGGTGTGACATATGTTGGTGCCAGTATTGGGGTTCCCAGGACTCAATACTCAGTTCACCAGTTTTTTTAAAAGATAAGAATCAACCCTTCTTTTCATTATTTTGCAGATGACTTTCAGTTCTTCCTGCCTTCAGCTGAACTGAACAGCAGAGATTCACTGACACTGATTTTGGGCTGTGTGATTGAAACCAAGACTGGATAAAGTTGAGCCTTGATGAAAACAGGATGGGTGAGCTGGTTTTAGTCAAAGCTTTTGGTTTCTTAGATCCACTATAATATGAGGAATTTACTGCAATACTGGATAGTTCTGTAAAGTTGTATAAACAGATTAATACCGGGAAAAACAATTTATTTTTCTTTTTTCCTCACTTTATCACCATTGTGTTCTTCTCCATTTTCACATTACTTCTAAAATGTAACTCCGTAAGCCATCCATGCACCTTTGACCACCAGGCATAAAATAATTAGACAACCACAAGATGGCAGCAAATCCTTGGTTTGCGTCGTATTTGCATCAGCCGGCATTAGTGAGCTACATCTGCCATCTCGGCTGCTTTCAGACTGAAAGTGGTTTAAGGTGGATTTGCTGTGGCTGCTCTAAAACGATACGTATTTACACAGCTTAGACTGGAATCATTTACTATCTGCTGAACACTTATGCACCTTCTCTGGCTTTTGAGTCGAGCAGAGGATGAGAGCAGAAATGGATTTGATTACTTAAATTGTACATTCTACAGTTATTTTTATTCAATTTTATTTTATTTTATCTTATATGCGACTAAAATTTGAAGCAGTTTGGTCAACTTTTGTTTTTATGCTATAAAATAAAAGTAAACAGAAAAACCAGCAGCTATGACTTTGCTGCACTTATTTCACTCTTATTGTTTTCTAACTTTTTTTTATTTATTTACATTTTCAACACATCATGAGTGCACTGACAATCAGAAACGTCCAACTCATGAGAATATATGGCCTTAAAGACTATAGTCCCTGCTGCTGTCCCACCTGTGATCCTGTTAGAGATGCTGAAGAGTCGGGACGTCCGCTGCCTTGTGGCAAACGACTCTCTGTAGTAACGATCGCCGAAGCACATCCCCAGCAGCTCCTTCCTCACCGTTTTGTTCCACAGGCCGTAAATGAGCGGGTGGCACACGGCGCTGCAGAAAGAGAGCCACGCCACCAGAGTCTCCAGCTCCTGGGAGACGCTGCCCTGACCCCACAGGGCCTCTGTACACACCACCCCAACGTACGGCCCCCACGTTATGAGAAAGGTGCCGATCACCACCAGGATGGTGACGAAGGCCTTGCACTGACTCCCTGCGTACACGAGGCTCCGTCTGCTCCCGCTGGAGGAAGTCGAAGTGCTTGAGTTCTTGCGTCCGTTTCTTTGAGTTCCAGCTGAGTCGTCTTGGGCTACAACGACCGTCCCGCAGTGGATTTTTCTGGCTTTCATGCGAGCTACGCGGAAAATGACTCCGTAGCAGGCCAACATGATGAAGAAGGGCGGGAGGATGCACCAGGTGACCCAGAAGGCGGCGTAACTCGGCTCTCTGGACCAGGCCGCGACGCACGTCCGCTTCAAACAGTCAAACTCGAAGGAGGACCAGCCGAACAACGGGGGCAGGCAGCCCACCAGCGAGTGTAGCCACACGTAGACGATGACGACCACCGCCCTGTTCCCTGTGATCTTCATGGGGTAGATCATCGGGTAGAGCACGGCGTAGTACCTGGCAGGATGAAATGGGAACATGATGGAGAAATCTGTCAAACAGCAGCTGAACGTGGTTCTCGTGGGGGTGCGGGGGACTGTAGATCCGTAAACCTCAGAGACTGCTGAGATGGATGAGGGCGACACAGGAGCCTGAAAGCTGCACGAACCCACTAACGGTGCTGTAATGCGTTTTGGTAAAAGATGAAAACGGCAGACAGACGGGAGCTTGGCAGGAGAACAAACAAGCTGCTGTGTAACCAGAAATCCCCAAAGGTGCGGAGGATAATTAGGAAAGCAGTGAGAACACCGTGGACCGAGAGCTGCTGAGAAAATTTACAGTCACAGCTTTGTGAGCTCCGAGGAAATAATACACGAGTTATCTCAAGTAGCTTTAAGTGCTAAATTTGGCTCAACTAAAGTACAGTTCATGTAAATAATAAGTCCTAATGAGCAGCCTCTTTAGACTTTTAAGTAAAATAAATAGCTGTCGATTGCTTCCCAGAGTTTCGCAAAGAATTTCAAATGTTTATTACAGTGAAAAATCAAAAATCCTGGAAAATGTCACCAATGACTCAGTTTATTCGTTGCGTCTCAGTGCCACAGAAAGGAGCTTATTAAGGTCTGCACTGAAACTTACTAACACCTGACTTTGATTTTGATCCAATCTATTTCACTGTAGTTAAAGTTGTGTGTTTAGTGTGGCTGTCCTGCCTCATTAAAGGTTTTAAAAGTTTTTTTTCCCAGCATTTCTCTTGAATTTAGCTCAATTAGTCTTCCCATCAACTCTGATCAGCACATTTTCAACTATAAAAAAAAAAGCACATCCACAGCATGATGCTGCCACCACATCTCTGTCGACTCAATTTAGAAATCTGGTGACATGTTGAAGCGATTGGTTCCACTGGATTTTATTTAGGGGTGTCACACTAAAGAGGGCTGATTGGAAACACAAGCCACATATTTTCAGTAAATACTTTTAAAAACTATTCAAGATTTACTTTCCACTTAACAATTATGCTACATTTCATGTTAGAATATCTCATTAAAACACATTCAAATTTGTGTTTGTGATGTCAAAAAAATAAATAAATAAATAAAGCCATCAAAATGTTAAAAATGTATGAACAAATTAGATTTTTCAGTTTTAGGATTTAGGACAATATAATGCACACAAATACCATCTGTAACACTTTAATAAGAAATTAGAAATATGTTAGAATTGTTTTTAAGAAAAAAGCAACAACAACAACAAAAAAAAAAAACAGTAACAGATGTATCAATATCTCTGGATATCGATGCATGCAGAGTTCATCTAACTGCAACTCCGGGCTGATCCGGTACCGACCTGTCGATGGCGATCGCTCCGAGGGTCAGCATGCTGGCCGAGCTGATGAGCAGGTAGAGCAGCGCGGTGAAGTTGCACCACACCACCCCGAAGACCCACTCTCGCTTCGCCGAGCTCACGGCCACAAACGGCAGCACCAGCACGGACAGCAGCAGGTTGGACAGGGTCAGGCTGAACACGAACTTGTTGCTGGGCGTGAGCAGGTACGGTCGGCGGTACAGGGTGGCCACGATCAGCAGGTTCCCCAGGCAGGCCAGGAGCGTGATGGTCACGATGGACACCGACTCCAGGACCGCCAGACCATCGCCGTTCCCCACTGAGGTGCAGTTCCTACTGGCGTTCATGGTGAGAGACTGGACCACCGGACAGGCGAGGCAACTGTGGGAGTCTGAAGAGAAAGAACTCAGAATTACACAAATATTGAGTAGGAAAACATACCAGAAAAGTATTATTTGAGAATATTTCTGCTTGAAACAGAAGACAAAGAGTTGAAAGCAAAGCCTTCTGAACCGTACTGACATGACTGACCCTGCATAGAGAATCTATAAAAACTAATAAAGTTTCCTAAGTCCAGATGACTTCTATTTAAGCACTTATGATTTGGTATGTGTTGTCAAGTGGTTGACACATGACAACACATATTTTAACAGTGCGTATGAACTGGTAAAATCCACCAATATAAACATTAGATTGGTTGAAGTTAGCAAAGTTTTATTTTACTTTTTAGGGTTCTAGAGAAACATGGACGTCTAAACTGAAAGGGCAAAAGCAAAAATGCTGTTAGATTAAGGTTGATAGTATTGGTAAATATTGCAATGATCAGCTTCGACACATACGCATGTCTTTCTTTCCTCTCTTTCTCGACCATGGTTCCTGCATGCTGCGCTATTCTGCATTTTGGGCAACGTAGTTTGTGTCCGGTGTGAGCATCTGCTGCCCTTAGACTCTGTCCAACTGGCTAAATAATACATCAGCATGTGAAATGCAACTTCATACCACTTGGAATATATTAGCCAACAATTGCTGCACTCCAACTTGTCCTTTTGTGACATGAATATTGCACACACTGATAGTGCGTCGATGATATAATCATTATAAACCGTGCTGCCTTGTAAATTTGTACTTGCAAAACTCAAAATAGGCAACAAGTTTGAAGGTAGTGAGTCACTCACAGCATGTGGTTCATGTAAGCAATACAATCTGAGGAGATGTTTCACACTGTGGTATATTTGAGCAAAACACCAAAGAACATTAAAAACACTCAAAGGTATAAATTTGTGTATTTAGAAAATTTTACAGCAGTTATTTAAGTTTCAAGATGGGTGGATGGTGGGATGAAAAATAAATGTTTAGATAAAGGATTGCATGGATGACTAGACATGAATTGATGGAAGGATGGAAAATAAATGGGTGGATAGCTAAACAAATGGACGGATGCTGCTTTTAGACAATGGTGCAAATAATAACTAACTAAAGCATCTAAATATTTCCATGCATATCCAGACCGAGAAAATGATTTAATCAAATCCTTAACTTTTCCAGATTGCACAAGAACCATGTAAATTAACGTCTAATTTATTCATTTTTTTTTTACTACAAATACTACTTCAAAGATGAGAAGATGATCTCATTTTAAAATTAAAACCCATTTATAAGCCCCCAAAGAAAGAGCTACAACTGTAGTTATAATTATTAAACAATGCATTACAAATAAGTTTAGGGAATCTTAAAGAATACTTTTACACTTGACCGTGTTTCTTTACAGACCATGTTCTTTAAGATTTTGGTTAATTTATAACGAAACACCATGAAAGCATCAAACTAGATTTTGTCCAGCTTACCCACTGAAGATGGTGGATTGATTTTGCTTTTCTCTTAAAAGATACACAAAACTTTAGATGTGTTTTATTGTGTCTTTCACTTGATAATCACAGATTGTTAAACTGTTACAACGCAACATGTAACTCGAGCGAAAATTGAGGCTTTAAATGTGAATATGTTGACACAATTTTACACCAGAGACCGATCTTAATTTCTGTGTATGTATACAAATACAACTTTTCGTAATAGTAGTAGTAAAAGTGAACCCCAAAGCCCAGCGTTTGTGATTTTTTATTTGTATTTTTTTTTTAGCTTTCTGAGCTGATGATAACGTCCACCTCCTGACTCCGTAGCGGTACAGCTACCGTTAGTTAGCTAAGTTTGGCTAAAACTTTCCCCATTGTCCCCCCCTGAACTCGGCTCTTTTACCTGCTTTTGTTCGGCGCTGGGTCTCCACATTTCGACTATCAGCGAAGACGAAACGTCCATCTTGTTTTTGTATTTCCTCGAGACCCGACAAAAGCGGGACAAGCCAGAGGGAAAAAAGCAAAGCCAGTGAATGTGGAAAGCGTTTGGGATGGTATGAGATTAATCTCGGGCGGCCAGCTGTGGCTGCAATGGCGTCCTCCTCCTCTCCACTCCGCCGCCTCCCACCCAAAGCTCCAGCTCCCTCTCCGAGCTGCCACCCTCTCTCTGTGTGGGTGGTCGTCGAGGAAATATGCTCTGTTTTCGCTTCGCCATTAAAGCAGTGCTGTTATAATCCCGTGGTTAACGAATTTGTTTAATTAAATTACGTCTTATCATTGTTATGCTATGTGTATTGAACAAATAAAAAGTGCATTTGATTCTTTTTTTTTCTCAGAAGAACCACAGGCAGTGTGTTTCTGTTGCTTTGTTTATAAAATAATGTTTATGAATGGGTACATGTTGACGGAGGTATCTGTTTATGAATGAACTGTTATGCATCGCTTGATCCGTCTGGACCACACACGGAGATCATAGCTTCCCGCTAAAAGTGTGCCGCTCGCAATTGAGCCGGCTGTAATTGCTAGCTCATTACATAAACGAGGGCTGTCATTTATCAGAATCAGTTTATGTGCATAACCAACAAATTTGATTTTGTTTTCACATGCTCACAGCACACAGTCTGTATGAAAAATAGTGCAAAATATTCTATATCTGTATGATACAGATATAAGATAGAGAAAAAAACTGAAGTTGGAGAAGAGGAGAGACAGATTCACTATTGTAATGGCGGTTTCTATAGGTGGGAGACAGTTTGTGTTATTTTAACCATGTGTTTCTTTAGTGCAGGCAAATTTAAATTGACAGTAAGGTACAGTACAGTAAAGCCTTGTCCACATGGAAACAAGTCCTCCAAAACTGTGTTTGTATTTTTACCTTTTATAAAACATTCTGTAAATAAACACAAATTTAACAACATTTCACTGTAAACTTCTACAACTTACACTTTATTTCAGTGTTTATCTAAAATCATGAATGTCTGGTTAATTTGGTTTTAGATTGCCATTAGATATTAATATGTGCATGTATAGTAATCTGTCTTGGGTGTCTCTCTGTTTGCCCCCAAGCTGTGCAGTCTTATAAAGGAAAATTATTTTATACCCAAACTTTGCATAGTTATATGAAACCAAAGTGTTATGTACAGAGACAAGCTATATTATTAGGATCCAGGAAAAGGGCCGTAATTCCCATCTCAAGCAAAACGCGTCATCTACCGTCTTCCAATCAGACACCGGGACGCGTTACTAACTTTGACCACTTGGTGTCGCTTTTTCACAGAGTCAGACCCACGTCTGAGCTGAACTCAAGTTAATCTAACAAAGTTATCTCTCAAAAACGCTTTTGGATAAAGTTGTGACCTTACTACAACATGAATCAATCGCAACGCACACAATCCTTTTATTCATTGCTGGCACCTTCCATCAAGTTCAGATGAATGTAAGTAAATTTCAATAACTCAGAAACTGTTTCCTTGTTGGTAAGTATAACAATTACAAAAGTAAACACAAATTCTGCTAACACATGTTGTTTCATCAGTAGGTCCAAAATAAATTCCACGTTAAATTTAAAACTTTGGCATAAAGATCTGTGGAGTGTAGTCGGTCAAAAGAGAAACCATCAAACCCTGGAAAAGATAAAACGGCTGATATTAGTAACCAGAAAGAATGACGAGGAGTAAATATGAAGTATCTACCTGCTATCTTACCATGATGGTCCATTTTCTATTCTCAGCCTCAGGAAAGACGAGGGAGCGGGATGAGTAAAACACTTGGTCATCCACCTCCTCCATCTTCCGGGGAAGGCAGTGCAGGAAGGTCCAATTTGGTTTGGCCACATTTCCGGTCTGTGTTTATCCAGTCCGTCCCCACCACAAAAAAAAATTAAAATAAATATTTGCTAAAGTTGCTGGAGTGACACAACTAATTAATAGGCTTTGGGTTTTTGTGTCCAGAAATGGTTTCAGACTTGCTGAAGTTTGGGATTCTCACATTTTCTCACACTACAACCAAATATGTCAACTCACTTTAGTGGGATTCAATGTGACATACCTTGGCAAATTGTCACAAAATTGGAAAGAGAAAAGGACAAAATACAAAGTATGCTGTGCATTCAGAAACTCAGACAGGTCATCGAGAAAATTATTGAGGCTTCAAACTAACTTTTGAAAATTAACACTGCACCCTGAACACCTTGGTTCTACAGTGAAGCATGGTGGTGGTAGTATCATGCTGTGTGGGTGGTTTTCTTCTGGAGGAAGCTGAATAGACCTAAATACAGTCCTGGACAGGAACCTGTTACAGGCTGTGGAAAGACTTGAAAATTGATATTCAAAAACGCTCTCCATTAGTCTGAGCTTTGAGATATTTTGCAAAGAAATATTGCAGGTCATGTAAAATCCCAATAAAATACATCAACATTTGGTGGCAGTAACATGAGAAAATATAGGAAAAGCCTCAAGGGATATGAATGAGAAGGCTCTACAGAGTAATTTAGCTGATATTTGTAGAAAACAAGCCTCTTCTTGCTTGCCTGCATTGTAATCTGGTAGCCATGGAAATCTTTTAGCCTCCTTTTCTTCTCCTCTTCCTGGCCCATGCTGACCCAGGTGTCGGTGACCAACACATTGCTGCCATGGGCAGCCTCCATCGGATCCGAGGTCAGAACAAGTTGGGTCCCATGCTGCGATTAGAAAAAACTGGCGGTGAATATTGTTAACCGATAAATGACTGTAAGTAGTCTAGGTCCTCACTTGTTTGGACAGCCTCTGCGCCTCTTCAGTTACTCCCTTGTCTGGTTCGTAACCCTGTGGAGGACGGGGTATTCAGTGAGACAGGAAAACCCATCAGAACCCATGATGGTCTGAGAAGAAGAGGCGGACCTTTGGTGTGGCAACCTTTAGATGAACCCCCAGTTTGGCAGCAGTCATCATGAAGGAGTGGAGGACATTGTTTCCATCTCCAATCCAGCTCACTGTAAGTCCACTAAGAGACCCATAATGCTCCTAGAAGACAACAGCGGAAATTAAGAAAGTTTATCATGTATAAAAGTTGCAGAATGCTGGGGGGAAATGGCACCTGTAAGGTGAGGAAGTCTGCCAGAATCTGGATGGGGTGATAAAGTTCAGAGAGTCCATTAATGATGGGGATGGAAGCCTCTCGATCCAGCTCCTCCAGCGTGGAGTGACTGTAAACCCGCGCCAAAACGATATCGCAAAGTCCAGAGAGAACCCTGTGCAGAAAGATAGGAGACACCGCTTTCAGGAAAAACAGCAGCACCACAAGTTTACATAATATAGATGTGTGTGTGTGTGTGTGTGTGTGTGTGTGTGTGTGTGTGTGTGTGTGTGTGTGTGTGTGTGTGTGCGTTACCTTGCCGTATCGGTGCAGCTTTCATTTACTCCTAAGTGGATGTCCTGTGAGGTTAGGAAGCAGGGGTGTCCACCCAACAAAGCAAAACCTGAAATATGAATAAACTTTTCTATTCAGAATCGCCTCAGACACTGGGAAATTATTTCATAAAAATAACACTCTGAACATACATACTACACATTAAATGGAAAATAGATCTCACAAGAATATTTATAACCCCTAAGCTTTTTCATATTTTATCACATTACACCCACAAATGTCAATAAGTTTTACTGTGATTTTTTTTTGTGTGTGTGTGTGTGTGTGTGTGATAGACCAACAGAAGAAAATGAAGCACAGTTTTCAAATTTGAATCTGGATATAAGAACAACTGCAAGTCTTCTAGTGTTTCCACCACAAATAAATGTCTCATGTTCTGTCTTATTGGGCGGAGAGCATCTATGAACATCAGTTTTCAAGCCTTACCACAAATGTTCAGTTGGAACAAGCTGCGGGCTTTGACTGGGCCGTTCTAACACATGAATATGCTTTGATCTAAACGGTTCATTTGTAGTTCTGACTGTGTGTTTAGTGTTGTGTCCTGATGGAAGGAGAGTCTGTATCTTTTACCAGGTTGATGCACAGTTGCGTTTGTTTTCCTCCACACAAAGTCTTTTTGTATGTAGGAAGTCTTTTACAACCAAAAGCTGATTTAAACTCCAAACTTTTATTTGTGTGTTTTTTTTTTCTGAACTGTACGTTGTGTTCTTCTGTCTTCACGATGCCACTTGATCAGTAAGGTTCTCCAACCTCTGTTTTTTCCCCCCACGCTGAGATAAAATTACTGACAGGTGGACTCTGTTTAGTGAGTAGGTGACTTCTGAATACTGTCAGTTGGATTTTATTTGCAGGCGTCAGAGTAAAATGTGCTAGACACTTTAAGATTTTTATTTTAAAGGAATAATAACGTGTATGCTTTGTGTTGATCTAAACTGTAAAACCACAACAGGATGACTTGAAATTTGTGGTTGTAATGTGACAAAAATGAAGCAACGTTTTGCACCCAGTGGATGAAGCTCTGTGTTTTGTCACAGGCTTGCCCTGAAAATTTGCCTTTCAGCAGATCTTTTGTTTCTGTTAACAATGACAGACAGTAAGAGTATCAGAGCAGAGAACACCACCGGAGCACATGCAGTTACACATTTTTCTGTCCTAAAAAGCAATAAAAGCAACACAGTTCTCTGTTAAATCCCCACGTAGATGCTGACATACAAACTGAGCACCTGTTTCTGTGGACATTCTTGTTCTGGTGCTCCTCTTCTCAAATATCATTGCAATCGCCTTTCCTTGCAGAAGAGGCAGATACTGAAATAGAAATAGCATTTGGCTTCTTTCAAACTCTGTCAAGCAAATATGAACTTGTTTACCAATAAATAAATAAAAAAAAAATGCTCCCTTTAGTTTAAATACCTGCTTTCCATGCTTTATCTGATGCTTGAGGTCCGCTGATACCCACAGCAACTTCTTGATTTCATCGGAGCTGAAATCTTTAAGTGTGAGACAGCTGCGACCTTTCAAGCTCACTGAGCTCAAGGAAGCTGCTCCACCTCTGGAAAGGCAGCAAAAATGTATGATTTAGACTTACACAACCACGCAATTATGACAAGAGGTGGTTTTTAGTGCAAATAACCTCTAAATAAACTGGAGTTGCTTACCTAAATCCTCTTTGCGGGTTGTAATAAAAAGATTTCAAACATTTTAAAAGGCAACTGTTGACAGAGAAACGATTTAAAGGCATCGCAGTTTAAAGGAAATTAAAAAGAGCGCAAGGATCAGCGACTTTTTGGATCAGT